CCTCCTGAGGAGCTTCCCCACCGTGCCAACTATAAATATGTTCGAGGTATCTTTGAATTTGTGTGTTTTAAATAGATTGTATGTTAATAAATCAAAGCATCTGTTATTTTTCTAGTTTCTTATGTTTTATGTTATATGTTTTACTGAATTGATCTTCAGGGGCTTCTCCTTGTTCTCATTTGCAGGTGGTGTTGCTGAAAGACCTTGTCCTTACGAATGCATTTCAGACAGATATCACACACCACACTGTTATACAGCCCTTGAAGAGCTAATTTATACATTTGGTGGACCTTGGTTATTTGGTTTCCTGCTTATTAGTCTCCTCATTCTCCTAGCTCTGGTGCTTAGTGTAGCCCGAATGAAATTTGTGGGAGTTGATGAGTCACCCGGACCAGCTGCTACTCAGCAAGGCTCCCATATGGGTCAATCCTTCCCATTTCTGGAGTCATTAAATGAGGTTTACTAAATTTTTGTATACAATATTTGTGGATCAGGATAGTGTTACAATTCTTGTTTTTTAGGTCATTGATTGCCATTCCATTTCAGCCTGTGCCCCCATAAAACAAAAGGGAAAGACTTAATTTAAAAGTGGTATTCTTTTCAGGTTTTGGAAACAAACAGAGTTGAGGAGTCCGAGAGTCATGTGCATAGAATGTATTTCCTGGGTCCTAATACTTTCAGTGAACCTTGGCATCTGCCCCATACTCCTCCAGAACAAATAAAAGAGATTGTGTAAGTATATTGTTGCTATATATATATATATATTCTGTTGAACTGCTTTTGCTTGTAGCATATATCATCTCTTATGTATCCCTTTCATGGAATTTAATGATATACATACTTAATCATTATTGACACACTTCACTTGGCAGATATGAGGGTGCATTCAACACATTTGTGGATGAGATTAATGCAATAGCTGCTTACCATTGGTGGGAGGGTGCAATGTACAGCATCCTTTGCGTTCTAGCTTATCCTCTTGCATGGTCATGGCAGCAGTGGCGCCGAAGGATAAAATTGCAAAGGTTACGTGAATTTGTTCGATCAGAATATAACCATGGATGCTTACGTTCTTGCCGCTCAAGGGCTTTGTATGAGGGGCTTAAGGTTTGTATTTTACTCTATTATTTAGGCAGTCTTCTACCATGCCCTTACTACGTGTTTTTGGTTTTTGAGTTCCTCTGTTTGCTTGTTGGTGTTTAAAGTTTACAATCATGGATTTTGATCTTGTTTAATGAACATACTAGAGAAAGAGATCTCTGAAAAATTTAAAGACTGACAACTTGAAAGGGATACACCAACTATGAGCCACCCTAATATCAAGGATGCTGGCAGTTAAAGGTGAATGCAGTTATTTGAAGCATGAAGTACGCCATCTGTTGAACCATAGCTATACCTTAACCTGAGTGTGTGGTGTTGGTTGCAACCAAAAAAAGAAAAAAAAAAAGTGTGGTTGTTTTGGATCATATAAGTTAAATTTTTATTCTCATGGATGTTGGTTGGAAAAATATATCAGATAAACCAACATCTCTAGCATCTAATGGATTTTTTGGGTGGTTTAAATTGGGGCATGGGGATTTGAAGGGCGAGGTTATCTTCTATGGAGACATTATTTATTTATTTATTTTTGCTGGACATGTCAATTTCAATTGTGATTATGTATGTTCTTGTATCTTTTGATGTGTGATGTGTATGCTCTAACTTAAAATACATGTAGGTGGCTGCGACATCTGATTTAATGCTAGCATATCTGGATTTCTTTCTTGGAGGAGATGAAAAAAGAAATGATCTTCCTCCTCGCCTTCCTCAAAGGTTTCCGATGTCTATACTTTTTGGAGGTGATGGAAGTTATATGGCTCCTTTCACACTACAAAGTGATAACATTCTTACCAGTCTTATGAGTCAGGTCTGCTCTCTTATTTTCATTCCGTGCATTTCATGGGTCAGGTGGCAAAAGATAAATTTCAGTTTTCTGCCAAATTTTAGCTATGATGTGACCCTATTAATTCTTATACACTGTGCAGTTGGTCCCACCTACCACTTGGTATCGACTGGTGGCTGGTTTGAGTGCACAATTGCGCTTGGTTTCTCGTGGACGGCTTAGAGTAACTTTTAGGCCGGTCCTTCAATGGCTTGAAACTCATGCTAATCCTACACTTAGAAACCATGGTGTATGCATTGATCTTGCCTGGTTTCATGCTACTCCATGTGGTTATTGCCAGTATGGACTTTTGGTGTATGCTGTTCAAGAAGACAATGAGTGTACATCAATTGGATACACTGATGAGGCAGTCAGAACTAATCCCCTGTCAAGGTAATTATTGCTTGTGTGAGTTCTATCTTCTTAGAGCACAACACTTAAGTTCCAGGTGATACGGTACTGAGATCAGGGAATTTTTTTGAATGACTGTTTTGCTGTATCTAGAGCAGATAGGGAAAAATTATAGAAGTATAAACTTGTGCAAATCAACAATGACTTTCATGGTGAATTGAATACAAATACCAGGGATAGAGTAGTCTTATGTGTATGGTATCCTGCATTGCCTTTTGGAACTGAGCATCATTTTAATTTGACTACGTAAAAATGTTAATTATAGAGATAGAAGCTTTTGGCATAAGCCAATTAACTATATACAGTGTTTTAGCCACACAGAATGTAGTTTTTGCCCTTTTTATTTATCATAAGACACTGTTGCAGTTAGCGAAGATTAGAAGTGCTTGCGGCTAATATTCTAATTATGTAGCCTAGTGTATGTGTGGATTTGACAGTTTCTCTATTTGGAAGTTGAATACTTTCCTTTAATGTTTTGGTATAGAGTGAAGAGCTCATTGGGGGAACGCCTAACTGGTCATCCTAGAGATGATGTGCTCTTAACCCAACGTCATCATTTGAGGCGGAAGAGGGGTTATAGAGGGCTTATTGATACTAACAGCTTAAAAATGCTTGAAGAGAAGAGAGATATATTTTATTTTCTCTCTTTTCTAGTTCACAATACTAAACCTGTGGGTCACCAGGTAGCTCCCATGAATCTAATAAGATTTGTTTTTCTTGTTGCTTAATTAAAAATTCAATCCTTTCTTCCGGTTAACTTTTCTTCTTGTTTGATTGCAGGATCTTGTTGGCTTAGTCATATCAATGCTACTCTTAGGAGATTTTAGTTTAGTCTTGCTCACTCTTCTCCAGTTGTATTCAATATCATTGGTGGATGTTTTTCTGGTTGTGTTTATTTTGCCTCTTGGCATCCTTCTCCCGTTTCCTGCTGGAATCAATGCTTTATTCAGTCATGGACCCAGGCGTTCAGCGGGCCTTGCACGTTTTTATGCTTTGTGGAACATTATATCCTTGATTAATGTTGTAAGTTCTCATACCTACCCATGTTATCATGATTTGAGTAAATTCTGGTAATTTCTTTCATTTTTACCTGATAAACATGTTTCTCTGTTCTCAACTTTTAGCTGGTAGTACATAGAACAGAGAACAGTATGTTAAAATTAAAAATATTAATTGTATATCTCTCAAGCTGTTAAAACTGTTGCAATCTACCTTTGATCTTCTTTAGACGAAATAATTCTCTAATGCCTTTCCTTTCTCTCCATTACCAGGGGGTTGCTTTTCTTTGTGGGTATATTCACTACAACATTCAATCGTCACAAAGTAAGAGACATCCAAACTTTCAGCCGTGGAATTTTAGCATGTAAGTTGCTACATAGCAGCAAAAATGCCAGACCTTTTAACTCTGAGACACATGATTAACTTTGGTGGTTCATCATGGTTGTGGGTGCAGGGATGAAAGTGAATGTTGGATTTTTCCAGCCGCTCTGGTTCTCTGTAAAGTTTTTCAGTCTCAACTTATAAATTGGCATGTTGCGAATCTGGAGATTCAAGACCGCTCATTGTATAGTAATGATTTTGAGCTGTTCTGGCAGTCATAACGTGATATGTATGTCGACAAGATATCTTCCACATTAACAAGGTTCTTTTGTATATTTTATACTTGTTCTCCTGTATGTAATTTGAGAATATCAGATGCATTATTGATACCCAAAAAAAAAAAAAAAAAAAAAAGGAAAAAGGAGGTAGAAATAGAGACACATAAAGAAAATCAAAAGGAAACTTTATAGAATGAGGGGCATTCATTCATGTAAGTTCTTAACATTTTGTCTCTTGAATTTGGGAAATTATAATGTAAATACCAGGCTGCAATATACTCCTACAATGGAGAATTTCTTTGTATGTATCTTTCCACATCTCTTCCAGTGTGTGTTCATTCCTGCCTTTCTATCTCAAATGAGCTTCCTTCTGGTCCAGGTAAATTGTAGGTGCATTTCAACTCCACTGAGAAATTGTACCCAAACCACCCCACCCCCCCCAGAAAAAAAAAAAAAAAGAATCCAAGAATTGAATGGATCAGGGTTCATAACAAGATAACTAAAATACCCTGGATTACAAATTAAAATGAAGCTGGTCTGGTAGAGAAGAAAGGACATGCTCAGTCAAGGAGAATCACTCTTTGGTTTGGTCAATACTTTGGGAACCTTGATATGTGGATCCTCATAACTTGGGATGGAAGCTATGATCTCTTCCCTATTGAGAAAAATGAAGTTAAAACTGCACTGATATAGTTAAACCGCAATGATATAACTTCATGAAACATGGTGAGCTCAGGTGATGCAATATGAAAGGAAGCAAGAATCTCATCTCACCTATTCTCAAACGTTTCTGGAATATCTTCATGCACATTGTCATGTACAGTATCTGCGCTATAAGAGACTTAAATATAATAGATTAGAGTTGACTACCATGTGCTACATGGTCCCTTAACCTTGATTTTATTTTTACAAAATAAATGATAATTGATGACATTTAGTCAGAAAACTTGTAGTAGTATTTATCTATCTACACATTCAAAACTAGCTGAGGAGAAGTATTATAGATTTTCTATTATGAAGCTGTAAAGGACAGATTCCTGGCTCCAAAGGAGCCTGATTCTTCCACTAATCTTTGCTAGCATAGTTGATGCCAGTACCAGCTCAATTAGGCATTCATGAGCTGAAAATGAGGCAAACTGCAAACCCATTTTGATTTGTTCAAGGAACTCAGTCCTACATGAATTCATGAGTCAACCCTACAAAAAAGAAAAAAGAAAAAAGAAGAAGCCCTTTACCAGTGACTCAGCAAATGCCTCAATTACATTACCTTCATAGGCTTCATTTTGATAGTTATCTTACTTTCGATGCATCCATTATTCTTGCTATGATATCTTAAGCAATAACAACAAGAATACCAACAGAACCAAAAATGTCTGCAAAAAGAAACTAAGCACCTTGTCACGGTACGCGAGTCTGGGGGCCGAAGTCAAGGGCATCATGGCACGAAGCTACAGCCACGGGCACACAGGAAGAGTGTGCAGCGTCTAGCGGGCATGCCATATTGTTCCTCGTAAAAAATAAATAGAAAAGAAAATAGACAAAAGAATAGCAAAAAACAATTAATTAAAGATGAAAATAAAAAGTAGAAAGATGTCACTGAAAGTATGAGGAGTTTGAGCTGAGGCGTGGATCAATCACTCTCTTTAGGACGTTTCGTGCCATTGATGCAGCCGATTTTTATAATCACGCTGCTCCCAAGATACGACAGCCCAACCTCCTTGTTGTATCTTTACAAGTACTGTACTCTTGTAAAGAAAGCTCTACCCCATCACCTTTTCCTTGCCTAAAGAGAGTTTATATATTGTGTTTGTGAAATAAGAGTGCAGATCATAAAATTGTATCAAATCTTTTTTTTGGTAGAAATGGAGGCTGCCTATTTATAGGCTTTCCCAAATGTAACTGAAGTTTATTGCTTTAAAACATTAAAAAGCAAAAACGCATAGCCCTTTCAATAAGACAAAACGCATGGCTGTTACCATTTGATTCCTTTATTAAAATATAAGCTTGTAACTGATGAGTTACTTGATAGATTTAAGTTTTTTGAAAGCAATGGATTTGTAACCGATTGGAGTTGCAAAAAGGTTTGTAACTTTTTTTTTTTTTTTTTTAAATTAAAATCTCCAACATGCCATGCAGCGTCACAGAGTGCGGGCGCAGACACGAGGGCAGGCGCTAGTACGAGCACGAGCACGGGCGCGAGCACGAGCATGGACGCGGGCATGCAGGACGCGGGTGTTGGTATCGTGACATGGGGTTGCGATTACGACACTTATGCATCCAAGGGCATAGGCGCAAGGTGGAACGCTCAAGAGGCAGTGGGCCTTGCTAGTGGAGGCGTCGATACTGGGGCCGTGGAGTGAGGTTGCGGACAGAACACGTGGGAGCGTGTAGGAGCAGTAGGGGGCGACATGTGTGTGCGCGCAAGAGTATCCTGGCTTGAGACACAGGTGCACACACGGGCAACTTGGGTCGAGACGCTGGCATGGAGGGGTGCAATCAGGCTCAAGGCACTGGCGCGCATGGGAGCGGCCAAAGGCGTCCACAAAGCGTGCAATGCTAGCAGCGGAAGAAGTGTCGACATGTGAGAAATACGCGGGGTTATGGTGTCGACATCCTTGTGACGGACTGGAGCATCCTAGAAAATTCTAGAAGTTGCTGGGCGCGCGAGAATAGTTCCTGATAGGGGTTTGAAAAGGCTTAATGGGCTAAGCCCGACCTGGGAAACTCCTAGGGCCTTATACGTAGTTTTAGAATGAGTTGTTCTATAATAATATAATAATGTAGGATTATGTTAGGAGGGAGAGTGGAGAAAATTCTAGTAATTGTACATATAAGGGAATTTTGTAGAGTGTTTTAGAGACTCATCTGCAGAAGAAACTTGGGCCAAACCTCTTCTATAAGTAGGGAGGCCAAATAGAAGAGGATGGGTTGGCTAGAGAGTAAACTGCTAGGTGAGTGAGTGCATACAGGGGTTGGGTACTCAAACTCTTGTACACTTCCTTGCGATCTTAATAAATTTTCTTCTTCTCCCAACTTCCTACATTCGTATTCCTTGTGTTGTTAACCTCCAAGTCCCGGGGTTGGGCCAGGCCAAATGTTGGGGAAGGCTGACTTGGTTTCGATTGAAGGGGTCAGTTCCGAGTCAAGTGCTGCACGAGGTCTAGTTAGAGTCTGACCACGTGACAAAGTGGTATCAGTCTAGTCTCATCCTGTGACAACCTGCTCTAATGGCGGGCTCAACACTATCAAGATCAACGGGTTGAAGTTGTCCAAACCTGCAATGCAAATATAAAACCAAGCCACAATGTCATTGTAATTCGCCATTTCAAATTCCCAAGTAATATGAATTTCATCCCCTAATGCAAAGGCTAGGAATTGCCTAGGTTTCAATTAACAAGCAGATTATCAATTGCATTTGCATTCATTTTTGACATCCTTGGACGAAAAAAGAGAGTACCAGTGTGTCACTTGTCGAATTTTTGGAGCAAATTCTTCAACCTGGAAAGAGATAAATATTAGATGGAAAATCGAGCAAATTGATGAAAATATGGGGATAATATACAAGTAATATTGAAACTTCGTTCGGGGCCAGTAAAATCCGAGCTGTTTGGGTCGTTTGTTAACTCAAATAAAAAGACAGTGTTTTGGGAGGGACCCTAACCATTAAAAACGGAAATTCCCTCAAAATGGGATTACTCTCAGAAGGTGGACGAACTCCAAGGTCGCCGATCTGTGCGTCGGATTCCGGTTAGTCCAAATTCCAAGCGTTTACACTAGGTTTAATTTGCCTCTTTCTAGTATTCGATCTATAAATGAAGTGTAGTGACGATTATAGTCCCAGTGCAGAATTTGCTGTTCTTGTGCTCTCTAAGGCAAAACCACAAACAGTTGGCAGGCTGGAAACTTACAGGAATTTGACAAGTTAAAATCGTTAAATTGCTTGTTGTTTCTATCTGTTCTTGATTATGATGATTACTCTTCTGATGTTATTGTTTTGGGTGTGACTTACTGATTCATATGAATTTGATTCACCATATTACAGAAATTCCACTGTTCTCCAAACCTTCATCCAAAGTGGCCTCGTTTATTCATCCCGCTATACATTCCCAGCCTCATCAGCTCAACTTTTAGCCATGGCAACATGTCAGTGTACGACTCTGTGCAAATGGTTTTGCTTTTCCTGATTTACATCTATGAAGGAATTTGCTGCTTTTTTTTGCAGGTTTGATGGCAAAGTTTTAACAGTTGGGGAGGAGCTGCAAAAGGAGAGCTTACCATTGCAAATGGGCTCTCGCCTTTACCAACTGCAATGGCTCAAACCACATACTTGGTATTAGGTGAAGATATCGTACCCAGCCAGCTTCTGTATGCCTAGTCACTTTTGTGGTCACCTCTTTGTAGTGTTCTTGTTTGCAGAACTGATGATCTTTTTTCTCCTGTTTCATTTGCAGATACGTACCGGCCAGTTTTTCCTTGCAACTGAAGAGGGGAAATTCAGACTCAGGGACACTTACGAGCAGAAGATTACTCAATACATTATAACACTGTAGTATTATTGTTTAGTATATAAATTGATTGCTATCATATCACTGCTGCTTCTCTTCGTTGACAATATTGCTTCCATTTCTTCTTGTTCAATTTGTCTCAGTTCTCGGTACAATGATGTTACTGCTTTCCAGAATTGCTGTGCATCTGTTTAGGAACTTAACAATCTAGATTGAACTTTTTACTTAGATAAAGAGGTGCTTATTTAACAATAAACAAAAATCCTTCACAAACTTCCTTAAGAACAATTTTGCAGGGCTGGGAATCAGTTCAATTGCTAATGCATGCAAACATGCATGCATCCAATTGACTCAGATACAAGACTCAAAAACACCTACACTACCTTACAGAACCCACAAACTGATCGACGACCCTAATTAACCACGACCTCCGCGTCGTTCAAGACACTTGCCCTTGAGTAACCCCCTGAGCTTTGTGCTGCACATACTGACCATACTCCTTAGCCTTCTCTGTCATGTCCCTAGTCGTATTAGCAACCATCATCCTCGCTTGATCCAGCTGGTCTGCCCCCAGCGGGTGCTTCCCCGTTACGTAGTTGTATATCCACGATAATGCAGTGATTGCCGCCACGCCAAACCCACCTGAAAACAGGAATCCGGTTGCCACCAGGAACGCCACTATCGCCGCCGGGACAAGAATTGGACTGAAAAGTACCACAAGTGGCGTGACAAGGATCAGGGCTACCACTGTCCCAGTTAAGGTTAACCCAGACAGAAGAAGCAACCCTCCACCAATTGTGGCTGCAGTCATGAACTTCACCGCCTGACGAAACGACGGCGCCGACTCGTAGCGCTGCTGCTCGGTCATAGGCTTTCCTTGATTGTTCGACATGACCGGTGGCTGTGATTGAAAGAGAAACAGTGAAAATCAAGGGGAGCGTGAATTTGATACGGGGGGAGGGTGCGGTGCGCAATTTAAGGAGGCAGAGGTACATATACGTGGCGGATGCCAGGGTGGGATCACCTCGATATATGTGTCGACGGCAGGGGGTGAAGAGGTGCGGTGTGGTGCGTCTTTAGAGTTCGACAGATTTGCATGGGGGAGGAAACACTGCTTTCCCACACTTGTCAAATGAGTCAGGTGGGCCGTTCAGAAACCTATGAATCTTCTATACTCTTTTTGAATGCCAGATACTTTGAACTGAAGTTAGTGATGGGCCTGGGGCCATGAATGATGGATTTCATGGGCCTTGGATTAAAACAAAACAAAAAGAAAATTGAATGTTTTGAAGTGGGTAATGGGCCAGAGTGGGCCATGAATAATGGATTTCACGGGCCTTGGGTAAAAACAAAACAAAAAGGAAATTTGAATGTTTGTGACCCACTCTGGGTGACAGCTCGGTCAGTCTAGACTGGACTCTGTCTTCAAGACGCTCCCGCCGTCGTCCCGATTCGAGGAACAGAAATTTTGAAAAGGATCTGAAGCGGGATTGGTCCACGTGTCAATTCCTACCAATTCGACCGTTGGGAGTAAATCGCCGTTGTTCGTTCCCTTTTCCCCCTTTTTGTCTCCGTCTTTCTCGTTCAGGAATCACTCCTTCCCTCTCCTTGTCTATTCTTCTATATAGAAACCTCGGCGTCTCTCAGACTCTTTTCCATGGCGATCGCAGAGGAACAACCGCAACAACAGGAGAAGGTACAGATTAAGATTCTTCCGTTCATTTCTGGTTTCGTCTCGTTCTGTTTGGTTCTTAGGAAACAGAGGAGGGATTCGGGAGATACTTTTCAATATAGGATCGGTAATGGAAAGTTGTTCCGGTAGTTTTGTATTTCCGACCTAAAGAATGCTTCGGGCTGTTGTCAATTAAGGATATCTTTATCCTGCTTTCTTCGGATCTGACTGCTTTCTCTGTTTGGGGCTAAGGAATGGGGTTTCAAGAGATTTGTTGTTTATAATTTTTGAGATGATTGGGAATTTTGAAACTGAGGATATGTTTTTTCTGATTTCTAGGGTCTTTTGCGAGCTAATTTATGAATGTTAGGTTTTTTTTTTTTTTTTTTCTTTAATTTTTGATTCCTATTCTTTACAGGCTTCTTCGGAGGTTTCAACAGCAGAAAAGAAAAGATGGACGCTCAACGATTTTGACATTGGGAAGCCTCTTGGACGGGGAAAGTTTGGGCACGTTTATTTGGCAAGAGAAAAAAGGGTATGTTTTCTTCAATTCTCTATACTCGAATAAAAATGGGAGATATTAATTGTGGTAGTTGTATTTGTTGAGCCTGAAACTAGCTAAGGCAAATGTCAGAATCATCAGATACAATTTGGATACTCTCAAATGAATTACTCAATATTGCATCCTTCAGAACTCTGTAACCAATCTGATCTGTGTCTATGCTGAAACAGAGCAACCATATAGTGGCTTTAAAGGTGCTCTTTAAGAGCCAATTGCAGCAGTCTCAGGTTGAACATCAACTACGTCGGGAAGTTGAAATTCAAAGTCATCTACGCCATCCAAATATTTTACGCCTCTATGGTTATTTTTATGACCAGGTATGTACCTTTTAGGCTTTATGTACTTGGATGCTTCAGTGTTTGTAGCTAAGTGGAAAATTGTGGAGGGGATTGACAAGATTTTAACTGAATTATGCAGAAACGTGTATATCTCATACTGGAATATGCAGCCAAAGGTGAACTCTACAAGGAACTGCAGAAGTGTAAATACTTCAGTGAGAGACGTGCTGCCACAGTGAGTAGTTTCTAATTTTCTAGGATATTAGCTTGAAGTTTGCCTTTGTAGTCATTGATGGATACAAGAATATGAATAAAGCACGAGTGATTTCATTGTCAAGTTCTTCTTTTCATGAAAACCAATGAGATGTCATAATTTGCTTGTATATATATGGTGCATGTTGCAGTATGTTGCACAATTGGCTCGGGCCCTCATTTATTGTCATGGAAAGCATGTAATACACAGAGACATCAAACCAGAGAACCTCTTAATTGGTGCACAGGTGAGGACCAACATTTGATGGCTGTGTTTGTTTCTTGTTCATGGATTAAGTAAACTTTTTCTTGTGCTTATTTTCTCAATTTGGAATTCTTCATCCAGGGTGAACTTAAAATTGCTGATTTTGGATGGTCAGTGCACACATTCAACCGAAGGCGAACCATGTGTGGCACACTGGACTACCTTCCCCCTGAAATGGGTATGTAAAAAAAACCATTCATAAGCTATCATTTTGTTACTTCAGTTTGTCCTCCATCAATCTATGGTTTCGAGCAATGTAGACATCATATCAAAAAGATGCATTTTCTTATGTATTCCAGTCAGTTGCTCTCAACAAAATTCATTTATTTCACTTTTGTTGTTTTAAACAGTTGAAAGTGTGGAGCATGACGCTAGCGTAGATATCTGGAGTCTTGGTGTATTATGTTATGAGTTCCTGTATGGAGTCCCTCCTTTTGAGGCCAAGGAACACTCTGATACATACAGAAGGTAATCACTAAGTGCAAAATCAAGGAACTTGAGCTAGAAAAAGTTGGCTACTTATTACAGATGCATATCTTTTCTCTAAATTTAGTGGAGATGAAACTATATATATATATATATATATATATCCATAGAAGATTTTGATGCATTGATAATGACAACATATTGTTGTTCCGTTTTGTTGGTTTCTGTGTTAAAGCTTTATTTTCATTTGCAAATGATGTTGGTATGTTGGTTTCTCTATGTTCTGTGGTGCTCTTCATGCATAAACTGTACATGTGATTATTGCATTGTTGATTTAGCTAACTTATTTTCCGTACATCAACAGGATTGTGCAAGTAGATTTGAAGTTCCCTCCTAAACCAATTGTCTCATCTGCAGCAAAGGACCTTATCAGTCAGGTTTCCCGTTTTGCTTCTCTTATGCTTAACATAGGCATTTCCCTTAATATATTTATATAGAAGAGTATCCCTGAATGTCTGTTTTCTTCCTTACTCACAGATGCTTGTTAAGGATTCTTCACAGCGTCTGCCACTGCATAAACTTCTTGAGCATCCATGGATTGTCCAAAATGCTGATCCATCTGGCATCTATAGAGCTTGATTCACATTGTAGTAGCATCCCTGGATTGTACTTAACTACATTGTCATTAATTTTAACATCTTTGGTTGTAGAAGAACGCTGGGCTCTGAATATGGTTATTGCCATAACCCAAAGTAAAGTTGTTTTTAAATTTTGTTTTGAATAATCTGTCCTCGAAATTCAATGAATTTAATTACAATATCTTTTACATTTCCGAAATTATGCCATTTCATTCTTTATATTTTAATAATTTATACAGTTTTTATTATCTTTTTACTCAACAACATGAAACCTAAGTTTTTAGACATTAAGACTTGAGACACTGTCTAAGAAACATTTTTATAGCCTTCATAAAAGAAAAACAGAATTTTACCACTCATATTAAAGCGTCAAGTCTTCTGTTTAAATTTTATTAGAGTATAAAATGTAAATAATTAAATAAAAAAATATATTTGACGTATAAAATATTTTTTAATTATTTTATTATTGAAATGAATAGTTTTTTAATAAATACATATTAATATTTACTCTCAAAATAAATTAAAAAATTTAATTTACGTTATTTTATTTAATTAAAATTTAAAAATTTATTTATTTTTATTATATATTAATATAAATTTAAAATTTATTTTTTTATTAAATATTAATAT